TCAGCTCTGTTTATTTCTGTACCTCTGCATCCTGGTCACCCGCCCACTGGGTCCTGGGCACCTTTCCTTGTTGTAACAGCACCTGAGCTGATGTAATAGTTCCAAACCCAAAGCAGCTCTGGATAGAGGTCATTGGCTGAAACCACCCCAAGTATTCCTCGAGCTAGACATTGGTTTCCCCTGAACACCCAGGGGCTGTGACATGCCCCCCACCATGTGTGGGGGCATGGGCACTGGCTCAGTATTGGGGGCAGGAGATCAGGGCCCCTGAGGACCATCCTAGGACCCACGGCCTCTGTCCCGACTCACTGGGACCCTGTCCTCTCCCCTGCCCCATGCACAGTGGGTGGGTGACACATTTGCAAGGCCTAACCCCCTCCCCCAAGTGTCCTCAATGGAAACGTTGCCAGAAGACAGGAGCCTCCCTGCAAAGGTCACTGTGTTGCTGTCTGCAGATCTTGATTGCTCAGGAAGGGTCTGGCAGGAGGAAACTGCAGAACACGGAGAAGGGCTCACACCCAAGGCAGCTGCAGAATGAAGTGACAGCTGGTCAGCAGGAGGCTCCCGGGAGGTGTGTGACACCAAGGCTCACCCCTAGATGTTGATTAACATAACTGTACTTTCTCCATCTGGCTCTCTGCTGGCTTCAGCAGCCAAGAGTGATGATATCAGAAGCCAAGAGGTAACAATGGGATATATAGCCCCGTGTAGGACACATTGACTCCATATATTTGTGAACTCCTATTCATCCCTCAAGACCCAGTTCAAATTTCACCCCAGATGAGAGGCCTGCTGTTTAGCATTGTACCAGCTCTTACCAGGTTGCATCACAATTCACACTTTCAGGCTTGTTCTCCCTGCAGAGCTGTGGTCCCCAAGGTCGGGGGTCATGCCTGGTGTCCTTAGGACTCAACATTTGTAGGCCAACCACCTGACCTGTGATCCATGCTTAGTCCTTGCTTGTTACATGTATGTGCCAACGGCCGCGTATCCCGCAAGTGGAAGGCTGCAGCCCAGCGCTCGGGGCCTTACTGCCTGCTTCTTGAACCTGTCCAGGAGACCCTCGCCTTCCCTGGGACACCTGTACACCAACCCCAGGGTGGGAGGGGCTTGCAGGGGAGGGCTCCCAGGACAGTCCAGACACATGTCACCCTGGGTCCCAGGGTGGGGCCAACGAACAGTGACCCTGGGGCCTGCAGCCCTGACACTTTACTCATCCCTGGAACTGGAACTCCCCAGAGGAGCAGGGAAGACCACCGGACTGTGAGCTCTGGAGGGCAGGGTGAGCTCTTAGGTCCCCTGGGGGAGAGCCCTGGTTCCTGGGTCAAAGGCTCCCCAGAACAGAAGGAAGGGAATACATGGACTTCTCCACAAAGGCTCACTCAGTCCGCCAGTCTCCAAGGGCCAGTCCACGCCCCCTCTTCCCTAAGAAGCCTGTGAGGGCAAAACCTGTGGGAATCTATCTCCCCCCTCAGGCCACAGCCACTTCTGCCCCACCTGGAGGGTCGAGAGTCTGGACCCTCTGCCACGGTAGCTGCTGTGCCACACCTGGCAGGTGATCAGCATGTGTCCTGGCACCCAGCTTGGCTCTGTGTCACCATCTCACGTAGCCCTGGGGGCTAGGCACTATGTGACAGGTGAGGAAACTGAGGCACAGGCAGTAAAATGATATCCCCGAGGTCACAGAGCCCAGGACTCTGGACCAGTTCTCTCTGCTCCCCCATCTGCAAAGTGACCAGATCTTCCCGAGGGGGACTCTTTAAGAACAGAGACTTGTCACCTTTGACATTCCTTCCCCAGCCCCCAGCCCTGGGCTCAGGGGAGAGAAACTGAGTTAAACTGAAGCAGACACCAGGAGCTGGTTCTGGGCCGTGGCTGCCCAGGGAATTCAACAGTCTCTGAATTACCTGCCTGGGGGGCAGGCCTGGGGCGGGGTTCGCACTGTTCCAGCCTCCAGGTGATTGTGGAAGCACCGTGGAAGCTATGGAAACAAGTGCACCGTGGAAGCTATGGAAACAAGTGCACCGTGGAAGCTATGGAAACAAGTGCACCGTGGAAGCTATGGAAACAAGTGCACCGTGGAAGCTATGGAAACAAGTGCACCGTGGAAGCTATGGAAACAAGTGCACCGTGGAAGCTATGGAAACAAGTGCACCGTGGAAGCTATGGAAACAAGTGCACCGTGGAAGCTATGGAAACAAGTGCACCGTGGAAGCTATGGAAACAAGTGCACCGTGGAAGCTATGGAAACAAGTGCACCGTGGAAGCTATGGAAACAAGTGCACCGTGGAAGCTATGGAAACAAGTGCACCGTGGAAGCTATGGAAACAAGTGCACCGTGGAAGCTATGGAAACAAGTGCACCGTGGAAGCTATGGAAACAAGTGCACCGTGGAAGCTATGGAAACAAGTGCACCGTGGAAGCTATGGAAACAAGTGCACCGTGGAAGCTATGGAAACAAGTGCACCGTGGAAGCTATGGAAACAAGTGCACCGTGGAAGCTATGGAAACAAGTGCACCGTGGAAGCTATGGAAACAAGTGCACCGTGGAAGCTATGGAAACAAGTGCACCGTGGAAGCTATGGAAACAAGTGCACCGTGGAAGCTATGGAAACAAGTGCACCGTGGAAGCTATGGAAACAAGTGCACCGTGGAAGCTATGGAAACAAGTGCACCGTGGAAGCTATGGAAACAAGTGCACCGTGGAAGCTATGGAAACAAGTGCACCGTGGAAGCTATGGAAACAAGTGCACCGTGGAAGCTATGGAAACAAGTGCCCGTCAGGAGATGAGCGGATGACAAAGCCGTGCTACGGTGCAGTGTTACTCGGCCATAAAAGAGAGAATGAAATTTTACCATTGTGGCAGCCCAGCTGGGCCCAGAGGCTATTATGCTGAGTGAAAGAACTCAATCAGAGAAAGACAAATACCATATGATTTCACTTATATGTGGAATCTAAAGAACAAAGCAAACAAACAAAACAGAAACAGACGCACAGAGACACAGAACAGACTGCTGGCTGCCAGAAGGCTTTGGGGGGCTGGGTGAAAAGGGTGAAGGGACTGAGAGCACAGACCGGTAGTTAGAGAACAGTCACGGGATACAAAGTACAGCACAGGGAACGTAGTCAGTGATATTGTAATAACTGTGTATAGTGCCAGGTGGGTACTGGAAATACAGGGGCAACACTTTGTAAAGTATGTGATTGTGTAACCAATACACTGTACAACTGAAGATAATACAAAATAATATTAGATGTAAACTGTAATTTAAAATTTTTTTTAATTAAAAAAGAGCTCGGTGGAGACCAGGATATGTGGGGATAGATGCTCCTGGCAGGGCCGCCTCCAAATAACTGTCCCTTCTATGCCCGTTTCTGGGTGTTTGTGCTCGCTGGAGCCTCGCCAAGCTCCACAGCTCGGCCAGGCCATATTCTGGGAGTAGGGAGGCAGGGGGTCTGGCCGGAAAAGACTCCCAGGAATTTATCCAAGATGATGTTTTTCAAAACATAAAAATCCTGCCAGCCCTGGCTGGTGTGACTCAGTTGGAGTGTGTCCTCCCGGGCGCCGAAAGGTCACAGGTTCGATTCCCGGTCAAGGCACATGCCTGGGTTATGGGTTCCATCCCTGGTCAGTTGGGGTGCAGGAGACAGAATTCGTCAATGGATGTTTCTCTCTCCCTCTCCCTTCCTCTCTCTCTAAAAAAAAAAATCAATAAAAACATATAAAAAGTGGTTAGGGGGAAAAAAATCCTGCCATCTGTTAGGTGGGTGCACTCTCCCTCTGGGCACAAAGCCAGCGCACTGAGAACAACGGGGAAACTGCCCTTCCTGCCTTCAGCCTGCACTTGCCTTGGAGGGGGTGGCAAACCAGTGGCTGGAGTTGCCCCAAATCTATTCATCTGGGGCTCACTGAGTGCAAGGGGCTGGGGCTGGGGAGTCACAAGGTGGGACACAGTTATTGTCCTCAACGCCTGCACAGTCTGCCCCTTGGTTACTTGGTGAAGAACAACTCTGTGGACAAACCCTTGGGTGGCCAGTTACCCAGCACCGTCCCCCCAGCACAGGGCCTAAGTTCCACCAGCTTCCAGGAAGAAACGCAAAATCCACCCGAGGTCCTGCAGAGGTGGGCTGAGCCTCGGCTCCACCAGGTCTGCTGGAGTAACCTTGGACAGCCACCTTAACTTCTAAGCCTTAGTTTGTTCCTCCGGAAAATGGGTATAAATATTCCCAATTCACTTAGATATGCTGTTATAAAACAATTTCCCAGATATAGCCTTCATTTCAAGAAAATGCAAGTGGGCAAAGGCATAGTAAGTTCCCATTTGTGCTAAAAAGGTGCTTAGATCTAGAGAGACCATTTCTGGAAAAATACCTAAGAAAGCATTAAACATGGACACCGCTAGACAGGAGGGGGTCTTTTGCACTATGATTTTAAAAACCAACTGCATGTATTATATTTTTATTTAAAGTGTATTAAATTAGTTGACTTAATATATGTATTAAAATGTAGTTAATAGTAAGAATATATTTTTTCCCCCCCTGAAAAATGCAAAAAAGAAAGGGAAAGAATTTGTACCTTCCAGGAGCTGTGAGAGAGAAATGAAACCGCAGGCACGAGGTACCCGAGTCAGATTTGTTGCCCATCTTTTCAAGACCCAGGGCTGCCCTGGGATTGAGTGGCCTGGGGACTCTTGTCCTCGCAGAGGGAACCTTCTGGGCTCTTCCCGGCTGGGTTGTTGATACGACGCCCAGCCCCTGCTGAGCCTTTCGGTCCTTCACGGGGAGGGCGCAGCGCTGCTCCCTGATGGAGAATTAACCCCAGACCTCACCAGGGGGTCAGCACCACCCCTGCTTTCGGACCTGGGAAACGGGTGGGGCCGGCGAGCAGGGAGGGGCCACCCCAGACAAACAGAGGCCAGGGTGCCTGTGCAAACACCCGGCTATAAATGCGTCCTCCTGGCTGAAGCGGGACGTCGTCTGAGCAGCCAGGTCCCCAGAGCCCGCCGTGACCATGGAGGCCAGAGCGCTCTGGCTGCTGGCGGTGGTCCTGGTCTTGGGGTGCCCCAGCTCGTCAGCCCAGTACGTGGGCCTGTGTGAGTACCGCTCTAACGTCGCTTCACTCCACAGCAGGCAGGGCCCGGTGGCGGCGGGGAACAGGGATGAGGGGAGGGGACACCGAAGGCCCGGGCTCAGGGGCTTCCTGTGGGCTTGAGGAAGGTGACCAGGCCCCACATTGATTAAATGATCGCCGCTTACCCGATACACACGCTTGCTCTCGACAGCCCTACAAACTGGGTCTTGCTGCCCCTACTTTAGACAGGGAAACTGAGGCTCGGGAAGTTGATAACGGCCGTGTGGCAGCCCTGCCCATCCATCGTGTGGAGATGAGGGTCGCGACCCAGGTCTGCCCAGTGGGCAGCCAGTGCCCAGCCCCACTGTCCCATCACCTGCTTTGCTAGAAACAAAGAGGAAGGAGAAACGACAGGGTGACTTCCAGAGCACTCCTGGAGCTGTTCAGCCCTTGCGTTGCAGCTGCAGGTGGCGGACGCGGCTAATTCACTATCCCAGGTCGGAAGAAATTAGGGTGCAGCTTTCATAGGTTACTTCTGAGCTGTGTCAAAGGCAACCGGAGCCGTTAGACTGGCCGGGGCCCCGGACGCGCCGACTGTCAGAATGTCCCGGGGCCGAGTGGGGCCGCGGTGCTGTTTAAGACGCCAGCTGGTCCCCATGCTGGGAACCGTGGGAACCGGAGGGGCAGCCGCACAAGGGGGTTTCGCTCCCTGAGCAGAACTCCAGTGTGGGGCGGGGCGCGGTGGCCTTCTCACCCGGGACNCACTATCCCAGGTCGGAAGAAATTAGGGTGCAGCTTTCATAGGTTACTTCTGAGCTGTGTCAAAGGCAACCGGAGCCGTTAGACTGGCCGGGGCCCCGGACGCGCCGACTGTCAGAATGTCCCGGGGCCGAGTGGGGCCGCGGTGCTGTTTAAGACGCCAGCTGGTCCCCATGCTGGGAACCGTGGGAACCGGAGGGGCAGCCGCACAAGGGGGTTTCGCTCCCTGAGCAGAACTCCAGTGGGGGGCGGGGCGCGGTGGCCTTCTGCTCACCCCGGATACGCAGGCTTGCTTGGAAAGTGACACTGGAGACCAGAGGGTGTGCAGGGAAGAAGCGACAGGCCCTGCGTGCATTGTGACTTTCTCTATGGGATGTTTATATCCAGTTATAGTTCTTACTTAAAAAGGGGGTGGGGAGCTTTTGTAGATAAAAGAGAGAAAGGGAACGTTGTGCCCGGGTTCAGGGGACCCCGAGTTCCCTGGGCCGCTGCCAGCCTGCGGGAACACAGGCCACACTGACTTTCTGAAAAGGTGCTAGGAGCACGCAGGCCGACGGCCAGACTTCCTTTTAAATATTTACACGGGGAGAGGGTGCATCTCAAGGAGATGCTGGGAGGGGCGTCGCAGCCTTTGAACTCAGGGCGGGAGGGGGAAGAGAGCAGACGGAAGCCAGCGGGGCTCCAGCGGCTGACTGGGCTTTGTCTCGGACAGTGGAGAGCCAGTGTGCCATCCCGGGCAAGGACAGGGTGGACTGCGGGTACCCCGAGGTCACCCCCGAGCAGTGCAACAACAGGGGCTGCTGCTTCGACTCGAGCATCCCCGAGGTGCCCTGGTGCTTCAAGCCTCTGCAGGACACAGGTAAGCTGGCCTCACGTGCTCGGGGTCCTTTCTGGGCATGTGCCAGAGCATCTGGGTCCCCAGGAAGCTGCACATCCCTGGGCCCTGGGCACGACACCCAGTGCCACGGCAGGTCATTGACTGAGGCCTCGGTCAGTGGCTCCGTGCCCAGAGCAGCCAGCCGCCAGTTCCCTGCTGTCCTGTTGCCGAGCGTTCGTGCAAAGCACAAAAGCAATTGTTTCCAAAAGGTGTCAACGCCAAGGCATTACAGAGAGAGAACTAGTTTAAACACTACCCTGGAGGGAAGTGGTAAATGGGTAGGTTTGGAAAGCTGGGTCGATTTGCCAGGTCATACTTAGCAAACAAACCACCACCATTGGTGACAGGTGGCAGTGCTGGGCGTGGAGCCCTGATGTCTCCACACACAATCACAAGTGCACCCCTCCCTGTGCCTTCTTCCCTCTGTGGTGCAGTGGGGTGTAAGACAACCACCCGGGAACCCCATGTCAGCAACAGATGGGGTGCACACGGGTGGTTGCTATCCTGGTTCCATGGGCCCCACCTTACTCATCCTGGGTGTGGAGGCCACTGTAAGCCATCTGGCAGCCCAAGTGCCAGCTCACCTCTAAGGAGGGCACCTCCCTGGAACCAGCACCCACAGCGCCGCTCTTGCCCTGTGTCCCAGGGTAATTTAGAGGGGGCTGCATCCTTCCTCTGAGCACTGGGTGGCCCTGCAGAGGCCCATCTCATCGATCACCTGCCTCCCAACCCCAGGGCCTGGTGGGCATGTGGCTGATCTCCCACGACGTGGGGGACTCAGCACTTGCCCAGTGACCTGGGGGAGAATGCAACATGAGGCGCTGACCTTGGAGCTTGTCTTGACCTTGAGAAGCTGGGCAGCTGGGGGTGGAGAGGAGACCTGCTCCCAGTAACGTCTCCTGTGCTTTGTTTCCAGAATGTACATTTTGAAGCCACACCCACAGCTCTGGACACCTTGAGAGGTGAATTTCCACCATCAGGCGCCCTACCCGCACACCTCTGCTTTTCTGTCCCCTGCTCCTGGCGAGGCTCTGACTGAAAGCTAATGTCTGGGGCCCGATGTCTTAAGAATAAAGATCCATACTCAGCATGAGGACAGGTCTTTATTCCTGAGGTTTCTTGTCGTTGCATTTTATTTCTGCCAAGTCACTCGTCGCTCTCACTCCCTTCTCAGCATGTCATAGATGAGGGACAGCAGGGGGTGTCATAGCGTCTCTGAGCAGAGAATCTATCTCAGCCTGGGGAGCAGGGGTGGAACGTAGCCCCTAAGGAGCTACAGGGCCTGTGGGTTTGTTGCCGACCTCAGAATCTCACCCACCGTAGAGCCAGCCCCACATCCATATCCTGCCTGTCCTTCCTTAGCTGTGACAATGTTCTAGATGGTTCACTAGATGGCCCTGTGTGTGGCGGTTCTGGTTGGCTATCACCCACTGGGAAAGTATGACACTAGGAGGTTTGTCACATCAGGTGTGGTTGGAAGAGCAAGACCCCCACTGAGGGTCGCATCACTCCCCATGTACAAGTCCCCACGCCTGGGCTGGGCCCGGGACTGCCCTCACCCTGCCAAGGAATTCCATCCTATCCCTCCTCTCTAACTGTCCGGAGTCAGTCTCTGCTTTTGGGGGCTCCCCCAGCCCACTCCACTTGTTCAAAGATGCGCAAACTGTGCCCAGGATGGCAGTGCTTCCTGCCCTTGGCCGCACAGTCCCACTGGGTGAGGGGAGAGCCAAGGACTGGGCCAGGAACAAGGGACGACCCCACCCTGGAGGCAGAGGATCCTAAGGCTTCTGCACCCCACCCTTCTCATACTCAGATGGTGGTGTTGAAAGCAAGAGAGAGAGAGAAATGACATCTGAAAATAACAATGCTTTATTTGATGTATGTCACATTTTCAAAAATGGCACCTAATTTCAGAAAACAAAGTTTAAGTCTGCAAAAAATGTGTGTACAAATCTAAGAAGGTAACTACAGAAATATACAAAGCAGGCCCGCGATGTGTAAGGTCAAGCGAGAGCTCGCTCCCGGGCCTGCCCGGGCCTCTGCTCCAATGGAGTGAAACAGCCCAGGAACAAGTGCCCAAGGGAGCCAGGCTGTTTTTAAGTATATATGTACGTACGTGTACGTGCGGAGTTTATCTACAACAGTGCAAGCCTCTCACAGCGTGCAAGCACCTGTATTTCCTAGGTAACATGGCTAAACCAAAATACAGTTACTCATACAGTATTATAAAGGACGGTTTATGGAATTCCGTCTTCGACATTGACATATGCACACTTTTGCACACTGACTAAAAAGTGTTACTTGCATGGACTCTTGCTTTGGAAGGAGTAACGAAGGAGAGATGTTAAAATAGCTGCTCATCGAATGAAAGGCATCGATTCACAACAGATTCGGCCGTGAGCGGGGCTGCACCGCTTCGGCTACATGGGAGAAGCACACAGGAGAGGGCGTCAGTTACATGGATTAACTTCTAAACACACGTGTCCCGTTGAGGAACTCACCTCCGTGGCCCCTCCCGCAGGATCCTGACTATAAAAGTGGGGGCCTCTCGTGCGGGGTTGGTGGTGGATTTTATGAGCAATTTGAATGGCAAGACCTCTCCTACCACTTTTAATTGACTGAGGAATTAAAAGAGGAGATATTTCTGTCCCCTGGGGCAGTCTGTGTTCCTAAGGTCATGGAAAAGACCCGAAAGGTGCATGATGACAGAATTGTAACAAATGGAAAGATATTAAAATGAAGTAGTCACCACGGCCCCTGGAATAGTCTCGGAAGAACCGAGTCTCCTGGTGCTGTTCAGACTGGGCTGCGCCGTGGCCTCCAGGACCCCGTGGAGAAGGGGCTCAGCCTTAAACCTGGGAACCCCAGCCTTCCCGCCTCCCCTCGAGGCCTGATCCATCTCACCCAGCAGGAGAGGGCACATCAGCGCCCCCAACAGGGGAGGTGGTTTTGGTGACTTCCCCCCAGAAGTCAGTGTGCCTGGTGCTTCAGCGAAGCCCCGCTTGCAAATGCTGTTTTCTCGAAAGCTCCCTGTGCTGACCCAGGGCTATGCCGGGAGAAGGGGCTGGTGTGGGCTGGGCCTCAGGGCAAGCGAACTGCAAGAACCAATAGTTCATCCGGGTGCTGGCAGCAAGGGCCCCCCGAGATCTCCTGTAAGGGACACCCGTCCATCTGGGGAACTTGAGAATGGCCCCAAGCAGGCCAGCAGGGTGGGTCACCCCTCACCTCCCTGATGCTTGCCCACGGGGCTTCAGCAAATCCTCCCGGCTCACCTGGGCCCCTGCTGCACGGGACAAATCACTCCCATGGTGAAAGGTAACAGCGGGTCGCTTGCAGTTCCCCCCAAATCAGATCTCCTAGCATCAGTGAACATAGGAGATTCTGTTTACCTGTGCACAACATCGGGCCACTCTTAAAAGTCAGGCGCAAAGCATTGGCCACGGGCACCTCCAGGCGATCAGCCCGAGCCTCTCATGTCTACTTGGTGCAGACGCAGCAGACGGGGCTGCGACGCTCCCCCGAGAGAAACCTCCCACCGAATGGAATCATTTTGAATTTTGCTGTTTTTATTCATGTTGCTCCCAAGACCTGGACAAAACCACGGAGCCCAGTGAGAAACTCACTTGTGCGCGTGGCCATGTCCTTGACTTGGACTGCAAGGCGGTGGCCGTGGGGGTCTCCCTGGGACCAGGGAGCGAGTTCAGTCCCCAGCCATGGAACCGCACAGAGCTGGCCTGGTCCTGCACAGGCTCTCCCGGGGCGGTGACGTGACCAGGGAGCTTTGTGTCTCCTCTCTGCAAGGGTCACTGCGTGGTGGAAAAGCCCCAGAGCTGTGTCCCACCCCAGACAATCTCTCGCCTGGCCAACCGTGGTGGCCGGTGTGTATGGATTGTTTCCTGCTGTTGTCCCCAGGGGACTATTTGAGACCAGAGTGGCACTGGGTCCCTGAGCCTGGCCTGCTCCACAGGGGCCACGTATGTGCCCCAGGTGTGTCGGGTGCAGAGCAGGGCTCCTAGAGGAGGCCACAGTGTCTGCTGGGGGAAGATTCCCAGTTGGCGTGTTTGGAAAGGACATCAAACACTGAGCAAAGGTTAAGCCCTCTGTTCCCTCACAGGTGGGACCAGGAAACGGGGAGGGTGTGCCGCGGTTCTCAGGAAACCTAGCTACGGCCGGAGGGTGGGCATCGGGCCCTCCCTTCAGGCTGCCTTCCTGCCCGGGAGGCCTGGGTGTAAGCACAGGCCGAAACGGGCTTGCGAGGGACGGGGGCACCCCACTTCTTCCCTGCTCTGGCCCCAGTGAGGCCCCGACAATTGTCCCAGAGGAATCTCCCAACATGAGAGGCCAGTGCGGTGACCCAGAGGGACCGTGACGTTAATGTAAGCTGGACGAGGGAGGCCGGCAGTCTGCCGAGGCAGGGGGATCCTGTCGGCAGGCACTGCCATCACCAGCCTGTCCCACATCCGTTCGAATCCTGCACAGCACCTCTCTCTCTGTCCCTTTGGAGGACAGCAGGGCCACCGGTTCTGTGACTTCATGCTCCCTGCTCTGTGTCCCAGGTGGGGGAGGGAAGCCCCGTGTGACAGCCCAGTCCTCAGCACCGCTGCCCAGGAAGCTCGGGCCACAGCTCAGGGACCTGGGCACTCATGCAGTTTGTAACTCCAGGCTCCTTCTGGGTCCTGCTCGGCTGGATGGGGAGCCAGACCTCGTGGGGGGCACTCTCCCTGGAGCAACACTGCAGAGGCCACGGCCTGACCCCCGGAGCAATGAATGAGGGTGGCCTCTGGTGGAACCGCGGCTCGGAGCCCGTGTCCACAAGGCCACTGCAAGGCTGAAGGGGGCCGGCGGGAAGGCTATGCGCGGGCCGCCTGCATTTGGGGCCTTGGCACTTTCTGAGGTCACGGGCAACATTGACAAGGCAGGAGAAAGTGGGTGAGGAGCCTGGGAGGGCCGGGGAAAGCCACAAAGCCTTAAGACAGTTCTGCAGAGAACATGGACGTTCCCAGGAGAGGAAGGCGATTATTTGCGATGGACGTCAGACTGGAACACTAAGTGATAAACCCGAACTCTTCCTCAACGTACAGCAAATGTATTCAAAATACAGCCTGTAAAATCCATTTTAGTTAGCAAAACCCAAGTGAATCATTTTGAACTTGAAGCATTTAAGAGTGAACACGAAAAAAGCTTTATATAAAATATTTTATTAGTGGTCATCATTTCTTCAAAGTGTCTAACTTTATATTCATACACTCTGCCCATCCCCCCGAGCTGTTTTGTTTGACTTTTTGTCACTTTGTCATTTAGGTGGCAACGGGTGACATCGTTTGGACTACGCTCTTGCCATGTGCATGGCAGGCGTGAGGGAGGGAATTTTTTCCTTTCTTCTCGGAGTGAAGGGTGACTGAGGATTCATAGATGAAGGGAACACCACAGAATAATACTGTGGCATGCAGCCTGGCAAAGGCCCGCATGTGTGCCCCTGTGTGCGCGCCGTGTGTGTACACACACACACACACACACACACACACACACACACATGCTCCCGCCCCTCTCTGCCCAAGCCCAGCCACAGGTGAGCCGCATGAGGAAGCTAAGGCCACGCCAGGCCGAGGAAGGCACGCTCCAGGCAGGAGTAGGCTCAGCCCCGAGGCCAGCTCCGGGCGCCCCAGGCAAGGCGAGGGAAGGCGCGGGGCGCGGCCACCCTCCCATCTCAGCCACCTGTTTGGTGATGGTGAGTCCAGAATGAGTGGCCACTACGCTAGTATTGCATTTTATACCTTACAAAGGATTTTCACATACATTTGTGAGTGGGAGGCAATGTGGCAAAGCAAAAATAAAGTAAAAAAAAAAAGAAAGGGAGACTTTGGGGTCAGACTGGGGCTCGAATTCCAAATCTGCTCTTTCCTGGCCCTGGGGCCGGGGACCTTACTGCCCCTCTGCCAGCCTTGGTGCCTGGCCTCTCCAGGCGCATAGAGGGCTGTGGCCACGGGTCCCCTCCCGCCCGCCTGCACTGGAGGACGGGCCACGCGCTCCAGCTCCCTCCCCGAGCCCGGCGCCTGGGCAGCACCAAGCTCCGGATGGTCAGTCAGCGTTGGCCGAGGAAAGAGACAGAGGGACACTTGACAAAGACAGATGCTCAACCCACCGGAGCTCACGTTTTTCTCAGGGAAGCAACCAAGGTAACTTGGACCTCACGACGCGCCTTTCTCAGGGAGGGAAAAATGACCTTCCTGTGGATGTTGTTTTGTTTTGTTTTTTGTTGATCTTTACCGGAGGATATTTTTTTCCATGGATTTTTAGAGAGAGTGGAAGGGAGGGGGAGGGAGAGAGAGAAACATCGATGTGAGAGAGACACAGCGACTGGCTGCCTCCCGCACGCACCCTCCTGGGCGGGAGAGCAAACCTGCAACCCGGGAATGTGCCCGGGACCCAAGACCCCTCAGCCCGCAGGCCGGTGCTCTGACCACTGAACCAAACCGGCCAGGGCACTGTGGGTGAGTTTTTACCTAAAAGCTTACGTCTAAGTTCCTGGTCCTGAAGGGCCCTTCCCCAAGGTGACGGAATCTGACTCCAGCATTTCCCGTGTAAGTGTCCGTGGACATTTTTTCCATGTTTCTTCCTCTTCCGGGGAGAACTTCCTGCACCCACAGGGACTTTGGAAAGATTTAATTCTCTAGCTGATATTCAACAAGCATAAGAGAAAGGGGGCCTCCAAATACTCTCAGTGGGGACAGAGAGGAAAGGTCCCCAGAAGGGGGCTGGTCAGCAGGGACCAGGCCCTGACGCTGCCGGAGCCAGGACCGTGGTTAGAATCCCAGGTGCCCCTTCTCTCCTGACAAGTTCCGTTGGGAAAGTGAAATTCTCTGAGCTTCCATTTCCCCTCTGCTGACATCTGAAGACGCTGGAGAAGCCGTGCGTCTTTCCCCCAAGGGTCCATCCTTCTCAACAGCAAGAAGCAGCCAAAGGCGACAGGAGTGTCAGCGCCACTACATTAAAAAATTACTTAAAAGCATCGGATTTGGGAAGCTGGCCTGGTTTAAGTTCCCACGTAGGAGAGTCAGCACATCACCACCTATCTGTGCACCACAGCAATTTAGAAAAACAAATCAGTGCGTGGCTTGGATGCTGCCCTAGGCCACTGGAATAAGGTGTTTTCTCCTAAAACAAGAGCTGAGGGCCAATATCTGGAGACCCGAACAGAACAGCAGCATCTCAGTAAAAGCTGTTAGGGGTTCATAATGAGAAAGTACAAGCAGGGAGCACTTGCGGATACAGTAGTTGAATTGGGGTGAAGGCAGCATCCTAGGGGTGACGAATCCTCACTCGACATGGCTTTAGGTCTCCCGAGGCAGATTATCCTGGGTGCTGCCTTAGTGCACCTGCTACGCTCCACTTGGCCTCCTCTGACAATGGCCCTGGTTACTCCGCATGTGGGTTTCCCTTCTAGCAGCCGGACAGCCCTCACGTCCACAAAGATCTGCCTTTGAGCAGGGGGAGACCTCAGCCAGTCGCTCATCTGTTAAGGCATGAACGTAATCTGCTGACAGTAAAAGGCTGAAATGCAGGGAGCACGGACTCCTACAGAAATAGTTCCTTCCGAGGGCTTAGGTGTGCTTGGCGGTGAGCTTTCCAATCTAAAGGAATCTCACTGTTTCCTTGTGAAATGGCTGGGACACGACACTGAGGGCTCCGTGAATGAGCCCGTAGGTCGGCTCAGGGCAGTTCCTGGCATGCACGTCATTAGGAGGGTCACAGAGCCACAGCTGAAGGGCTCCCCTGCAGGGGGAGAGGTCTTTAAACACTGACGTCCCCTGATGTAATTCGGAGGCACGCTGAAGGCTCTCTCCTCCCTCCCCCTCTGCACTGCACTAGGCTGTGATGTCTTATAGGCAAATCCATCTGAAATTAAAAGAAGACTTTTTACAAAGGCTAAGTTTGACCCTGGTTAAATCACATAGTCTGGAAGGCAACGCCACTGTATTTGTGACGAACAAGGAAACTTAACGTTACATTTTAATATTCCTCGATTGTGTTTACTAAAGAGGATCTAAGGGTGAGAAGGGGACCTCTAAGCATCTATAAGTCAAATCCGTGTGCAAGTAAGAATCGGACTCTTTTCACTCCCTGAAGCAGGAAATAAGAGTTTAGGGGACAGAGCCGAGGAATCTGTCAGGGCGGGAATGGCCTTGAAGACTAGCTAGTGCCGTTATTTACAGAAGAGGAGACTGAGGGTCAGAGAGGTTCATGAGTTTGCCCACAAAAATACAATCTTTCATTAGGGGACCCTGATTCCAGGACAGTGATGTTCTAGGAGGGGAAAGCAATTCCATTTTCCTCCAGGTGGCCTTCGTTGGCCAGAAGCACCCTCCACCCTGCAGATACACTTCCACCCTGTGGATACACCCCGCAGATACGCGGCGGACAGGCACACGGCGCTCTTAGGAAGCCGAAGGCTGTTTACCCTGCAGATAGCACTGTTCCTGCCCTAGAGAGGTTTACTCATGTGGTTAGTCACTGGGAAGAAGGGGCTCCGGCCTACGGTCTACACAAACCAAACGTTGGCAAGGTGGCCCGGCTGAGCTGCCACCAGGACCAGCCCCCGGAGACGGGCTCACCCTCAGCCTTGTTTAACGGAGGTACAAACACCTCGGCCGCACTACGTGGCGGGGTCCCCGTAAAGGCCTTGGATGCTGAGCTCTCAGCACCGCCCACCTCGGGCAGTCAGCTCGCCTTTCAGGGCTGCACCTGGGACCCCTCAGCGTCCCCGCCCGGGCGCCCCTCAGCCCACACTCCCCGTTCAGTGGAGGTAGCTGATGTGGAATATGAGGAGGGGAAATGCTTGTAAAAACTCAACAGGGTGGATCTTCCGGAATTTTTTTAGGCAAAATTAAGGTGCTCAGAAAGTTAGGAAGAAAGAAATGATATATTTTGCTTAAAATAAAAAGCATGGGGGAAAATATAAGACTTCGAAAGAGCTGGCCAGCGTCGCCTTCCAACTTGTACAACTTCCTAGGATTTTTGCAAACTCAGCGCATACAGTTCCCGAGTCTCCCCTCCACCCGGAGCTGGCAGTGGCACTTGCACAGGGTCTGCCTCTCGGTGAAGCCAGGGAACCCAGAACCGTCGCTTCAACAAGCACTAAAAAGACAGTTTCTTAAAGTGACTGAAATGCGCCGATTTGGGGCTTGGAAATGACCCCTTATTGGAAAAAGAGACTAACTGCAGAAAAACAGTGAAAACCAAGGCGGGAAGTGGAATCGCTTCCTTCTCGGCCTGTCCCCCCGGCGCGACGTCTGACTGCGCGGTGACCAGCCGCGAGGCCGCCCGCGCCCCCTTCCCGTCCGGGACCAGAGCTCCCGGCTCCCGGGGGCAGCGTACCGAGGAGGCCTCTTGTCACCAGCTCCGTTGCAGGTTTAAATTCCGCCCCAGCTGTGGGAGTTTAAATTCTGCGCGTGGGAATCATCCTTTCTACACCGTCTTCCCGGTGCAAGCTGGAAAGGGCAGTGGGGAGAGGACCCGACCCCCGGGCGGAACTGTCGCACGCCTGGCGCCCGCGGACCAGACGCGGTGGCCAGGGGTTGAGTCACAGTCATCCCTGTGTCCGCAGGCACAGGCTCGCCGCCGCGATCCTACAAGTCGCCCTCGGCGGCAGTGTCTACTTTTCCTCTCCTCCGGCTTTGGGGTGCTTTACCTCTCGGCCCGGATCTTGTACCGCAGGACAAAGTAGGCGATGAGGCGCAGGAGGACAAAAAAGATGCCCAGCACGACAAAGTCCAGGTAGAGCTTGGCGTTCTCCACGTCCAGCTCTCTCAGCACGGCCTCCGACTTCTGGAAGTGGCAGGTCTCGTCAGTGTCGCAGTGCAGGTCCTCGCGGTCCAGGCCGTAGATGGACAAGATGACCCCTTCGAACCCGTACCTGCGGAGGAAAGCGCCGGGCGTGAGGAAGGCCCTGCCCTGGGCGACCGGGCGACTTCCCCGCCGGCCCTGACTCTGCCTCCGTTTGCTGAAGACCAAATACCGGCCACCTTCTCCGCAGTCGCCAGTCGCCTCTCCCTGCCCGAGTCTCTCCTCACTGAAACGCTTCCCAGCCTCCCGGCGTCTCCCTTGGCAGCCTCACTACATGTTTTTCCAGTTTTGTTTCCTCTAAACTGTACAAATCGTAGGTGTTTGTTTGGTGAAATGAATGGAAAACCACTTTGATTACTTCTGATAGTACATTTTTTTAACGTTAGACATAACAGAGGGTCTGACAGCCTTCCAAGCCCCAGACGGCACTCGAGCAAACACCTCTGCCCAGCTATTGCTCCGTGCCGGCCCCACACTGTCGGAACGAGCGCTCATTCTGGGGAGAGAGGCCCGGGTTCGGGTTTCCGGGCACTGGCGTGCACACAGGTCGCTGAAACTCTGTACCAGGGCTCTGCATCCCATTTGTTTTCCAGAACAATACACCTGGGTCTCAACTGACATTCTAGAGGGGAAAAGCTTGTTCCGACGTGAGATCTGCGTGTCACGCGGCATCGCCGCCGCTGGGCAGAAAAGCTCTGAAGACAAGCGCGGCCCCCAGGCCGATGTGCGGGTGGACGCCCCTGAGCGCGCAGCGTGCCATCTGATCCAGTGCCTGCGTGCCAGGACACGCGTGCCCAGAGGATGTCTAAGTCATGACTCGTTTCCCACCGGGTTTCTCTCTGGGCTTACAATGTGCAGACACGCGTCATGAGCATGGTTATTTCAGAGGGGAATGAAGTGCCCGGGGGTGGGAGCGCCCCCCAGTGGCAGCTCTCCAAGAGACCAGGCGCCCACCTGGGCTCCTTCAGGGTATAAGCGGCTAGTGCTTAACTTGTCTTTGTTGTGTGTGTGTCATTGAGGGTGGGGCACACAAAACTGGGACAAAAATAAAAGGCCCACGATCCTCTGGGATCCGAGATCTAGGAGTTGTGCTGGCATTTAGCTGAAAGCCAAGACGTGGCTTTCCTGAGTGTCTGTGTGCACATTGACAAGAGTCCCCTTCCCTCTGCCACAGTAAAGCCCCCGAGTTATACAGGCTGCCCCCCAACACACACATGTGCTACCTGACATAGGACATGTAGGATATCCACTGCAGGTAGGTTGGGATGGTGTCAAAGCTGACGAAAAACCCCGAGAACAGAAGGATGGGGATGGTCGTCATGGGGCCCACGAAGGTCGCCACCTGGGGGGTCACAAAGAGAGCTCACAGTCCCACATAATTCCCTCCGCAAGTGCTCCCTGGGGGCCACATTCCTGGACAGTCACTGGGACCACTGGGAAAGGGCCAGTTTTCAGGATGGTCATCCAAGGGCCAGGAGGGGGCAGAGAAGCGTCGGGTTTGGGGGCGTGAGCAGCCTGCTCTTGTGTGTACACGAGTCCCCCGAGTTCTAGCTCTGCTTTTAAGGAAAGGCCTCGCCTGAGCTCCCTAAAGTCACAGAGGTGCAGAAATGGCAAATGCACGTGGGTTTGGCACGTTGTAGGTGGGTGGGTGGGACCAAGAGTCTAGAAGGGGCATGTGGAGAGACTCAGATGGGGTGTCGATGTGGGGGTGCAAGGGAGGTCGAAGGGATGGGCAAGTGGATCCCCTAAGGGAACAAAACTTAGGCATCCAGAGCCTGGCCTCTGAGCCAGCTGTGTGACCCTGACCAAACCGCGTTGCCTCCCTGGGCCTCAGTGTCCCCACCTGTAAGATGGGGATAGCACAGCATCTGATTTGGAGGTATGTTTGGGACTAAATGAGCTATTATGTGGAAAGCACTGAGAACAGCAGCTGGCATACACTAAGTGCCACATAAGGGCACCTGCTGCTGTTGATATGCCAATCCCAACTAGCTAGGACAATGTGAGTCCTGACACAAAGACTGACCTGGTGCAGCCGATCTAGGAAGTTAGGGCAGAATTAGGAGGAGGAGGGGTGGTGCTGAGCCTCCCCCGGACAGCAGGGAGGCGTATCCTTGGCTGGTACCTGCAGGGACGTGGAGGCAGCTCCGATCAGGAGGCCCAGGGACTGCGCCACCAGCGAGATCATGGTGCCCAGGGCAGAAAACAGGATGAACCTCACAGTGTCGGATGGCTGGGATGTCATCCAGTACACGATGCTGCAGTAGGCCACCGGGAACAAGATCTGGAAACACAGGCTCCGTCACCCTCTCGTGGAAATCGGGATTGTCCGCCCAGTTCTACGGGGCGCGATGGAGAATTCCTGCCCCCCTTCAAATATACGCCCTTCGCACACGTACCTGGAAGGGGACATCGGCCATGGTCTTGGCCAGGTAGTAGGCCTTCAGGCTGTACCAGTAATTCAGGTGCTCTCGAATGAACACACCCATCTCCAGGGGAACTAGGAGACAGGGGAACAGAACAGGGGTCAAGCAGACATACTCAGTGTGCCAGACACTGGCACAGGTGGCCTATGCCGCGACGGGGGCCCCTCACAGCTTCTGGTCCTCGGGGTTTGGATGGGAAAGATGAGGACTGGTTGACCAGCCTGGGAAAATTGCCGACCATTTTTATAGCCTGAGGAGTCAACGAGTGGAGAACGTCAATGCAAATCCTGAATATTATTTTAGTTATTAATATAAACATTTATTGCTCAACTTACTCTCACTGAGTAACTGTAACAACGGGATTCTTTCCCGTGGGCAAGACCTCGCAAGCTGGTGTCGGAATTCTGGGCAATTTAGGGAGGAGGCATCGTGGGAGGAAGTGTTTATGCTGGAGTTGGGTGGAAGCAAAGGGTTTCTACACCATCAGACCAAAGTGACCAAGGGCAGCTTACTCGACAAGTGATCTAGACTTGCACAGAAATCCATCTGGAATGGCTTTATCCACTCACAAACTTGGCTGTGCCAGGGCTGTCTTAGGAACCAAACAAGGGAAGCAGCAGAATTTGAGGGGCTCTTGATTAGAAAACCTTTTAGAAATCCCTCTATCAGCCTTTCACCATGCATAAAATCCTCCATTAGTGATTCATTCCTTTGGCTTAAATATGGTAGGTATTTTCTTGTCTAACAGAAAATACAGCGATACCTCCGTCTGTCTGCAGAATGATATTTTAAAAAACAAGACACTGTACACGTTCAGAAAACTCATCTCTTCTCAGTCCCCGACGCGTGGTTGGGACGACATAAGGCAGGTGGGGGGCCCGTGGCCAGCGGGCACTCACACGTGAGCACAGTGGGCATGAGGGCCGCGAACATGAGGAACAGCATGGAGAAGAAGAGGAAGCCGGAGTTGCTCAGGACCTTCTTGGCTTCGTTCCCAATGTCCAGGTAGAGCAGGCCGATGAGGAAGCCGATGACAATGTGCGAGGCGACCCGCAGGTGCGTCAAGACCTGGGGGCAGAAGGGCTGTTACTCGGGGGCCTGCGAGTTGCGGGGACCGGCGGTGATGGAACCACGGGGCCGAGGCCTCAGGCTTCATCCCGCCCCTTCTCCTCCAGAAAAACAAACCTCTGACCCTAACCCAGCTCACCACACACACACACACACACACACACACACACACACAGGGCAGCCTTTTATTGCTGTCAAAACGGAACTGCTCGGAAATGGCAGGCAAGGTCTGTCTGCCTTCAGAGGAGGGGACGAGTGACAACGACGGTGGAGAAAGGGACAGTGGATGCATATATCAGAGGCCCACCCCTGAAGAGCTCCAGGGCGGGTTGCTACAAGCCCCTCTACCTTTCAAACTAGGTCCCAGAGGCCCACTGAGCTCTCAGCGCCTCCTGGGCAGGCTGTCAGATTGTCCGCTTTAAAGGGGGATATTATCACAGTTCTCAACCACTCACCACCTGCTTCCCAGTAATCCTCCACAAGGCCCCAGTGCCCCATGCCTTGCCGTGCTTTCCCGAGGTGGGGACACACTCCCTGACGTCACACTTGGCCATGCGACTTGCTTTGGCCGGAGAAACGTGAGCACAAAGTGACAAGTTGCCACCAGAAGTTTTACATTTGGTTTCTCCCCTTGCACTTTCCCTTTGTCACTTTCTAGAAAGGAGCGGTCCCTCCATCTGAGCCCGAGGATGCGAAGAAACATGGGGCAGAGTCACAGCACTCAGCCACCAAGTTAACACGAGCAAGGCATAGATATAGGGTATCCCCCCCCAAAAAATGTATACACACACTCTGAATAATGATAAAGGCAGTGTTTATTAAAATGCGTTTCATTTTCAAAACTGAGCTACCAGCTGTTAAAGTGTGTATGCATTTTGGGGGGGACACCCTGTACTGACTGTCGTAGCCGCTAGCATTTGAGGGGCTGTGTGTCACAGCAGCATCGCGGAGCGAATGCTGACTGATGCGGATGGAGGAACAACAGTCAGGACGGATACACCCGAAAACGCCCGAAGCTTCCTCTGCCACAAGAGGCGATTGCAGGCACGCTTACCGAGTCCCTCAAGCTGCTCAGGAAAGTCCTTTTGAACAGGATGCAGAACTGGGTGAGGCAGCTGGCGGAGAAGCTGTGACAGCCTTCGGTGGAGGGGGAGTCCTGTGGGCACCCGGGGAGGGAGAGGAGGTGAGGCCCAGCCCCGAGCGCGGGTCCCAAGGCTGAGAAAGGGCGCCCCGCCGCAGGGGCACACGCAGGGGCGTGGGATTACCTTTCTCCGCCCCTTCACTCGTTTTGCCTGCTTTACCTCTTCAGGGGGCCGGTGCCAGAGGAAAGGGTTCACCTCGGCATCCCCCCCAGGCTCTCTCCTGTAGTCTGAGTCGCACATGCCCTCGAGGACGGCTCGCACCAGGCGGCTGTTCTGGTCGCCGTACTCACCAGACGCCACCTCCATCACTGCGTGAGACACAAGCGCGCGTGGTCGGCCAGGCCCTGGGACAGGCGCCCGACATCGCCCAGGTGAACGGTGCGCCTCTTTCATTTTTGCAACTGCAGAGCAGTGGATTCAGCCGGAATATTTTTAACCGATTATATACAAGTTGAATGACCATGATCTTATGATAAAATCATTTAGCAACCAATGTTCTTTCGGCTCTAAACCCCCAGCAAGACCATTTCCCATGTCAGGAGCCTGGGAATGAAAATAATTAGCTCATTGCCTATTAACTTACACCCGTCCCTCCCCACACGGCCGCTCTCTCTGCACCTCCAGTCCTGTCTCCAGGTGACGTTGAGGAGATAGAAGCCACACCCTAACCTTTCTGGGACCTCCTGGAGGCCCCATGTGCCCTATTTCTCCTCCTGCCCATCCTTCCCTCTAGGTTCTCTCCTCTTTGCGGGCCTTGGACCTTACTCCCCTCTCCCTGCTCAGCACACCTGTCCCCAACCATCCTTCTCTCTAGTGAATATGTGACTATAAACCGGACCCGTCCCACTGCCTTGAAACAAAGCTCTCTGCCCCCTCACCTTCCTGCTCTCACACTCACTTTTGTAAGAGAAGCATTTCCCAGTCCAGCCAGTGTGGCCTAGTGGTTGACATCAACCCATGAACCAGGAGGTCACAGTTTGATTCCCAGTCAGGGCACATGCCTGGGTTGCAGGCTCGATCCCCAGTAGGGAGAATGGAGAAGGCAGCCAATCAATGACTCTCTCATCATTGATGTTTCTGTCTCTCTCTCCCTCTCCTTTCCTTTCTCTGAAGAGCGAGAGAAAGAGAGAAGCATTTCCCAGGGACAGTGTCTTGTGGAACACAATTTGGGAGATAATGTAGAAAATATGAAATCCTGAGTGTGGCCAGATGTTTGAAAGAAAAGCAACTGAGTGAGAAGGGCTGATGACCAGGAGACCAAGTGGGAGGGTTATAGTGGATTCAATAGCATCCCCCAAATATTCATGTCCACCTGGAACCTCAGAAACTGACCTTATTTGAAAAAAGTTTTTTGCAGATGTAATTGGTTATGGGTCTTGAGGTGAAACTATCCTGGATTTAGGATGAGCCCTGAATCCAGTGATTGGTGTCCTTATAAGCAGAGGAGAGGGCACAGAGACACACACAGAAAAAAGCCATGTAAAGACACAGGCAGAGATCAGAGTGATGGGGCCACAAGCCAAGGAACACCGGAGCCACGGGAAGCTGGGAAAGGCAGGAAGGACGCTGCTGACACCTTGACTTCTGGCCTCCAGAACTGTGAGAGAGTGAACTTCTGTTGTTTTAGGCAACCCAGTCTGCAGTGCTTTGTTAAAGCCACCCTAGGAAGGTGGGGTGCAATGGCAAAGACTGGACCCCAAGGACAGTGACTGATGAGGAGAAGACAGAGGGGGACCCCTGGGAGCAAGTCAGTGTCTAGGATCTGAGGTCATAGATCTCAGGCCATTGCAAGTGGGGACGCAATCAGCTGCTCAGCATCACAGCCCGCTGACCTCGGAACTTCACAGCAAGAGAAGCAACTGGGACCATTAGCTTGACTGCTGGGCTCAAGGTCACCTTTTTTGTTACATTTAGTCAAAATTTAAATTGGCATTTTAACATCTCCATTAATTAAAACCTTTTAAAAAGGTAATTTCTTGTTAGAAATAACTTCCTTTAAACGGGGACCAACACAAGAGATGTTAGAAAATATCGCTCCTAACAACAGCTCCCTTGTTATAGTTTCCAGATATTTTACCCGGAGGAAAAACAATCTCTTTTTCTCTGCCCTTAAAAGTTCCACCACAGGATGGCACTTGAGCCATCTGAGGAATATTCAAGTAATTTCTTACTGGGGGCCTCTGGTAAAAGTGGAAATCCACCAAGAATGGCAAAACACACCCCTTTCTTTTCCTTCCTGGTCAAGGTTCTACTTACCAAAATCGGCTGGGTTGTGATAGGTTGGGCAGTTCAGACCTAAATCCTTCAAATATGGTACAAGATTGGAGACCTCTCCCCGGTACACACATTGTCCTTGACTAAGGACATAAAGCTGGAAGAAAGCAGGGAGAGGTAAACATCAACCCTGCCCGTCTCCGTAAAGCAGTGGGCGCTCTCAACCCACCCATCCATACCATCCCC